AAAATTGGCGGTGGGTGGTGATGACTAGCTGCCTTCCCACTGCTAAATTAGGGACGGCTAGCGCAGATAGCCCTCATGTAGCTTTGCATGATATTCAAAAACAAACAAGTATCAGATAGATATGCTAACAGCATGAGGGATTGCCAGGAAATTTGTGGAGTAGTCTGTATTTGAAAACTCGAGTGGGCTTTAATATTGTGTGAAAAATAAAAGTAACGCAATCTTTATTACAATATTCCAACAAAAAAGAAAATGATGTGTCTGTACCTGCAAAGGCAAGACTGCAGTCGATGATCTACTAAATGGTATTTAGTTCCACAGTTTTCACTCTCTCAGGATTGATACCTGCACAACTAAAATATGATGATCTCAAAGACAATTTTTACTTGAAGATCTCCTAGTAGAACAGAATCAAGAAAGCGCATATGAATTCAAAAGGTAAACTTTGTTTCTTTGTCCAGTCGACAGCCTCTCTTCTTGATCTTTGTTTTCTCTCACAGCCTTCGCTGGCCATAACATAAAAACATCATCCATTCGGCAGGCAAAATATTACAGTTGGCGACCCTTTTGATACTGACATGCTAGTTACTGCAATATCTCTTTAGGCAGTATAGACATTATATACTGAAGAAAACAAAGAAAAAAAGCAGGCAAAAATTTTCAACGGTTTTCTGGGCCACGTATTTATTCTATTACTGCATAGAAACTAAATAAACAAAAAATTATTAAATTCTTATGCAAATAAAAGCAGGTAGAAAACATATGATATGCCTAATATTACACATTTCCTCCCCTGTCTGTTTCAAGTTTGTCCTCAAGTTGACAATTAAAATTAACTTTAACGCCAATATCCTTTAAATTTAGAGCACATTAACTTTCTAATGTTCCTAAGAGCGCATACATGATACAACCTTTTTGCAAAACAATAGAACTCTGTCAAATAAGTAAAACTATTTAACAATGACTTAAAGACACCATACATTAAAATAAAACTTTTTACTTATATGTTAAATTAAAGTATTAATGTTACAATACAAAAATGGCAAAAAGAAACACAAGATCATACCTAATAGTAGAGGAACATAAAAAAAATCCTTTAGCTATATTTGAAAGAACTAGATAACATCTTTCACAATAAAGACGTAATTATGCAAACCATTTAGCTAAAAATATATCTATAAAAGTAAAATTAAAAACTCGAGGTAACACACAGATTAAATAAACACATTTTCAATAGAATTTTCAAAGTTACCATCATTAATATAGCAAAATTAAAATCAAAACAACCCTCCAGTAGAATATAAAACTCAATAACACATCATACAATACAAACACCCTTGAACAACGTTTAATATAAGAAATGACTTTGTAACGTAATAAAAACAATGTGTAAGTACAAAGCACAGAAAGTAAAGCTAAATAATACAAAAAGGAAAAAAAACAAAAAAAAACGTAGAGATATTTGTTTATTTGCTTGTTTTTGTTGTTAAGCACAAATCTACACAATGAGCTATCTGTGCTGTGGGGGAAGGGGGGTGTAGAGATACCCTGCCCACTTTAAGTGTGAACATTAATCACAAAAATATAGATAGAAAAGTAAGAAAACAATATAAAACTGTTTAACTTTGATATGATTAAATATTACAATTAAACTTTAACAAAACATTTAACTCATTACAAAAGTGGTAGCCTAAAGTGACATTATATGTGAAACAAATGAAAACCCTTAAGTGACCAACACAAAAATATAAAGTATTAATCACTACATATTAAAATCAAACTCATTACATAGAAAGAAATGGTTACTCAAAATGATAAGGGCAAAACACATTAAAGGAAAACAGGAACCTTTATGCTTTGAATGAAAATTGGATAAAAGTAAAACACAAAAATATGATAATGAAATCTAATCATTTTTCACTCGTACACAGTTATGTGCGCGAGTGGGAAATGGCTTGTTAAAATACTTAAAATAAACGTAACAAAAGAAAAAAGATATGTACAAGACTTCCAAATCCCTGCTCTTTCTCACACTTTAGCATGCATGAAAGAGCCGGCCTAGTATGGCTGATGGGTATGGCGCTCGACTTTCAACCTGAGATTCAAATCTCCGTCACTGAACATGCTCGCTCTTTCAGCCTGGGGACATTATCATGTTACGTTCAATCCCATTTTTCGTCATAGTCTCCGCTTTCTTGGGGTTTACTTCATGCTTGTCTTTATGAGGCTTGGGCGTGCCATGGGCCTCAACTATTTGTGGAAAACTTTTATTTGGTTGTGGGATGTAATGATCTCATTGCAAATGTGAGCACATCTGTCTTTGCTCTCTGGTGGTGCTGCCACACCCTATGATGGAACATGATTTTGGGCTCTATCGCTCCTTGTTCTTTACCACCTTGAATGCATCAACAGTGGTATAGACTCCAGCTACTGAGTCACTTGTATTGTTGAATCTGACAATTTATTCTGAGAACTTACCCAAAACTCCCCAGTGGCAACAGAGACCTCATCAGACTTTGCATATAACTAGGACACACCAAGTCAAACTAGTCAGCAAACAACGCATCTTCACTCACAAGCTCACTAACGGTAAACGTTAATCTGACACTTTCCATGTCCACAAGGACTTATTGTATGAGGAGTCTTGAACAAGATGGAGCAGTTGCAATACTTTTAGTTAGAAGGTAGTCCAGTCTTTGACAAAAAAGAAAAATGAATTTTAAATCTTATAGCATTTAATGATTCTTTGCTACTTCTCTTCATTTGGTTGTGTAATAACATTTCATTACTTTTTCATTAGATTAATTTATCAGACGCGTATTTCACATACACCTTTAAATACGCTTTTGATACTTTAATCTAAGTGGTATTGTAAGATCTTATGTTAGGTGACTTGTTTAGAACTATAACGCCGGATATTGTTGCATTGTGTCTTGAATTTTTATTTGAGAAAAGAACTCACGAGTGACTGTATTATGTAAGGGATTATAGGTGTGAAATGTTTCTTATCTGTTTGAGAAGTAAAGTAAGGCGGTTTTGCTGTTTAAAAGGTTTTATATTCACTGATGAATTCGATAAAAATAGTGTTTTGGGCTGCTGTCATTATAGGGTTGTTTTCTGTGTTTGCAAACAATGTTTCTGATGTTTTAGGTATATCTGAATGCGGAAAGTTTAATATTTAATAACTTATTTGATGAACTGTTATGTTAGGTTGCTGTTCGATACTTCTAGTCCTTTGTGGCTGTGATAATTTGTTTGAAAGAGATGTCTGTTTACTGTGAGGTTGAGTACAAACTGCTGCTGCATATGTATAAGAAGGTGTGGGATGTGATATTGGTGTCGGTAGAAGAGGTGTTCTTATTCTAGCTACTGCTAATCATTCGCTGTACAGGACTTTTAAATCCGATTTTGTTGGACCTGGGAGAGTGACGTACACCTTTGACCTCTTCCCTAACAGTAGATTTTTTGCTCTTTTACCATTATTGCTGTATCAGATGTTTGCGTGAATCACTTCCCTGACATTCGAGTTGCCCGCCGAAGCTATTCTCAGTAGCAATGGTAGTGTCATTTAGGGGCTGTCAAATTCAACTCATTTATATTTCAGCCTTCACAAAATAAATAATCACAAGCAAAATTTAGATGAATTAAGACGTTTCTAACTAAAAATTTATGTACCAAGATTAAATTCATCCTGTCGGACAGCGGTAAGTTTATGAACTCACAACGCTTAAATCCGGGGTTCTATTCCCCGCGGTAGACACAGCAGATAGCCAGGTATGGCTTTGCTCTAAAAAATAACAGCAACAAACAAACAAAATTAAAATTCATATTCTTACTACTGTATTTCAATATTCACTTCGAAACAACATGATTCTCTCGCAGATCTGACATATTTCTCAGGGAAATTGATGGAAAATGAGAGAGTACCGGGTGATGTGCTTTGCAGTTCTTAACACTCAGCTAGACTGTGAGAGTGATTTTCTCAAAACATTGGATGACATTTCACATTAGAAAGTTCACTCAGTAGCTCGAAAAGCAAGGGTTGCAGAACCCTTTCGATTAGTGACTTTCAGTCACATGATCTTCCTATATGTCAATAATTCTACAATGTAGTATATACATATCATCTCAATATCACTCAAATAACTAGAAAACTTAGAAAACAATCAGTACCACTTTTTCTCAGCCAAATATATTGTAAATGAGTGACTATCCTAATTGTCAATGACTGAATAGCAGTCACAAAATGTAGTTCGTTCTTTCTCCTGAACATTATTATTTAATGGTTCAGGAAGCAAGGAATGTTACATCCTTTCAATCACTGGTTGCTCAAACATGATTTTATTAGTGTTTAGCTCATGGTTGCGAATTCTTTGCAGAACATGGTATCTTGTATTTCACATGTGGGATTTCGTATAGAACACAATATCTTGTTGTTCGTGTTTGGGATTTATGTGTAGAATGATGTATTGTAGTTCGTGTTTGAATTTCTATGTAGAACACGATATCTTGTAATTCATGCTTCGGATTTCTGTGTGAATCGTGGTATCTTGTAGTTCATGTTTGGGATTTTTGTATGGAATATTATGCCTTGAAGTTCATGCTTGGAATTTCCGTGTGGAACATGATGTCTTGTAGCTCACATTTGATATTTCTGCGTGGGACATGTAGTCCACGTTCGAGATTTCTGTGTAGAACATTGTGTCTTACTCATATTTAGGATTTCTTGTGGAACATGGTGTCTTACTCATATTTAGGATTTCTTGTGGAACATGGTGTCTTATTCATATTTAAGATTTCTTGTGGAACATGGTGTCTTATTCATATTTAAGATTTCTTGTGGAACATGATGTCTTACTCATATTTAGGATTTCTTGTGGAACATGATGTCTTACTCATATTTAGGATTTTTTGTGGAACATGATGTCTCCAGTGCGGTGATATCATTCATGATATGTTCATAATCATTCGATTAGTTGCCAGTAGACGCTTAACATCATGCTTCCTACTAGTAAGCCACCTGTCCCTTATCCGACGCCGCCGGTAATTATCAACAGATTAACCCTGCTACGGGACACTACCAATTTTATCCGCAGATATAAGCCTCAAGACCAAGTAAAGCCTGGAACCGGAACCTATTCAATAAGAAAACCAAGAAGAACACCAGGAGACTCCACAATTCATTCAAAAACTAAGGGATAGGAGAATGAAAAGTCCGCGTGGCCTAATGGATAAGGCGTCTGACTTCGAATCAGATGATTGCAGGTTCGAATCCTGTCGCGGACGTTTATAATAGGAAAATTCTATTTACGCGATACGACACGTCACGATTCAGACACGATCAGAATCAGTCAGAGTAAGCAGTCAGCTCGCTAGCTATCGACCATGTTACATGCCAGTAAGCAGCCTGTCTCATACCCTACGCCGCCGTTAATCATCGACGAACTACCACCCAACTTCTCGCCGCGGGACACGGCTAACATCATCCGCCACTACAAGCCTCAAGTCCGATTATTACATGAACGCACCCGACGTCTTCGAATGGGAGGTATACTCCCCAACCCAAGTCACTCGAAGACTTTCGCTACTTTCGCCACCCCTTGGTCTTCAAACCCTCCCGTCACTTGCCAACCCCCCAAAAGCAAAGCCAGTCTCCACACAATATTTCTCAGGAATGTTCATTTCTCATTCACACCAGAGGAAATACATCACAACCAACTCCATGATTCACGCAGTCCACCATATCCAGTCCAAGAAAACAGGTTCACCCTCCACGTTCATGAAAGTTGTCACAACTTCCAAAACTACAGCAGATCTCATCCTCACCCACGGCTGCTACCTTGATTATCATCACTTTAAGGCAGAAAAACCTTACTGTAAGCCTCACCCTCCCCATACCTTTTCTAACCTACCCCCAAGCCCACGTTTCTCAACACCCTAAAGAAACCCACCGCCAACCAGTACTCTACCGCCCATCCTATTACAATAGACCAAGCCACTCAAACCTCACCCACTCCTGAATCACAAGACATGTCAACCCAAACCACCACAACTAGGAGAAAAAAAGGCACCCAGACCCAGCCACAAGTATTCACTGTTACCAACGACGCCCAACAACTAACCAACAACCCGCCTCCCAGCCCCAAGCTACTTTCTACATCATCGGCATCAAACTCACCCAACGCCCTAGTAATTGACACCTCCCTCCGATCTCTACCTACCTGAGAACCTTTCTGTGCCTTCAGCCCACTCACCAACGACACCGAGGACTCCACGCCTTTACCATCTGCCTGGAACCGGTCCCATAATAAAACCATGGCGAACATCAGGAGACTCCGCAATTCATTCAGGAATTAATCAGACTTCACTTTGCCTTCCCCACTTACTTCTTCTCACTAAACGGGCACTGGAAACGTTAAGTTAGTTGAATACCAGCAGAAGTTAAAGAACTGGAAGGACTTACTCCTTACCCGATTAAGGACAAACCTAATAAATGTTTCGTAGCTTATGGAAAGATACTCTTAAATTTTTACAGTCGAGTACTGAGATCAAAGAATAACATGAAAGTAGCTAATCTCATATTTGAGTTTTACTTGAACACTTATATACGTAAACTATTTCTGAATCATAACTAATATATAGTTACTTATTAATAAAAACTATCTTAGTAATGTAATTTATTTAAGAGCATCTTTCTAAAAAAGAAATTGTATTTGATTGTGTCGAATGTTATATTTATATATATATATACTTTTATAACCTAACTTGTTTGATTATTGTATTTCTTCTGCCTTTACTGATACAAAGTGTGTGAATTTGTATGACCTTGATTTAAACTATGTCTTTAGGATTATACGTATGCATTGATCATACATATAATCCTAAATACAATGTTTAAATCAAGGTGTTTGCTTACAACAATATTCAAGAATTCTTAAAGTTTAAAATTATCATTTTTCGCCGCTTTTCTCAAAACCAAATAAAAATAATATTTTTGAATATACAAAGTTTGTAAGCCAAAATAAAAAATCTAATAACACTTATAGAGAACGTTCTAGTATATTTTATACATCACAATGGTAAAACTGATTATTATAGAAGGTAAGTTGAGAAACACATTTGAACCAAACTGCAGCAGTACTATGTTTCTATACTTTGTAACAGATAGCGCTACTGATTTAAAGAATGCGGAACTCGCGTTAGCGCCATCTGTTAATAATATATAGAAATAAAGTGTTTACTCCAAATATTTTTTTCCGAACGTAATATTTTTTAGCAAATGTTTAGGTTGAAAAGCTAATATATCATACCATTACCCGAATCTATCGCCATAACTCAATTGTACAAGAAGAATTATACGTTTCCAAGTAATCGATAACTAAAAAGGTATAAATGTTTCTTTTTCAATCAGCAATCTAACCATAAAGTTCTTGTAGTGTTATTTAATTTTGTTACTAAAACCCGTGACAAGTTGCAGTAAAATTCTAATAATGATAGCTAAATACAAAAGTAAGTTATAATATTTCAACATAATTACATCATAAAAAAACAACGAAAAATATAGTATTAAAAGTAAAGCTGGGTTATATACTATTACGTTTAAAATTTCTTGGTCATATATCATCAGCGTTATTTATTAGTTTTTTGCTTTAGTTTCGAATTATCGCAGTTTTTTAAACTTTAAAGTGACTTATAGTGAAATATTTTAGCTATTTATTTTGTATTTTTCACATGGTACATAGAGCTAGATAACAAAAAGAAAACTTCTTAAACACAGGTCGAAATGGATTTTTTATAAGGGTTAATGAATCCTTTTCGCTAATTTCTATCTCCATATAAAAATATATCACTTCAATTTGCTTTTTAGTCTAAATAGTTCACAAGGTGGTAATTAGTATATATCACAGTAACACTTTAACAAACATTCCTATTTCAAAAGATTCTACGTTCACTACTGATAAACATTTTATATTTAATAGCATGATTAATTTGACAACTCGAGCTCTCGTGTGGCTCAGCAGTAAGTTTGATGGCTTATAACGCTAAAAACCTTTGATGGGCACCACACAGATAGCCCATGGTGTAGCTTTGTGGTTAGCGACAAATAAGCAAACAAACAAACAAAGATTGTTTGTTTGTTTGTAGTTAAGTACAAAGCTACACATACGGGCTATCTGTGCTCTGCCACCACGGGTATC